TCAGGCCTGGGCCCACTCCTCCCCACCCCCTGTGCTGGACCCAGGCCCACTCCCCCTGCTTCTGCTGGGGGTCTAGAACCGCTTCCCCATTCGCCAATGCGGCAGCAGGGGGAGGGCAGGAGTGTGCTCGGGCCCACTCCACCCTTCCCACTGCTGCAGCAGGCCCTGCAGGTGGCGATGACTGAAGAGGGGAGGGGCGGGCAGAGGCCAGCACCAGTGGTCTCATTTCTGCACCCCCCCCCCGCGCCCTGTGCCACTGTTACCTCCTAGGAGCAAGAGGGGAGGAACCGAGGCTAGCTCCAGTGGCCTTGCCCCCCATCTCTGCTTCATGGTCGCCAGCTGCAGGGAGCTGTGCTGGCCTTGCCCCCCCCACTCCATCCCCTGTGTCCCCACCATCGTGGTGGCAGGCTGCCACCTGTCTGAATGCTTCTTCGCGCTCTGATTGGTTGTTTGTCAGCCAATCGGAGTGCGATTAAAGTGTTACAGACAGACAGACTCAGGCTTTTAGAATATACATGCACACACATTTTAAGAACCACTTTATAAAACTATTTTTAACATTTGTTTTTAACTTAAACTCCTTTCTAGGTAGCTACAGTGAGAATAAAGACGTTAGAAGAAAACATTGAAGCAGAGAGAGCAGCACATCTGGAATCCAAATTCAATTCTGAAATCATTCAGGTAAACCAGTGTCAAATATTTGCAAAGTTGCTAAAGCCACAAGTCCACAAAAATTCTTGTAAACCTTTAACTTGGAGAGAAATTCCAGTTCAATAGAATAACTCTTGTGCTAAAGATAACCCTGTGCATAAGTTTCTTTACCAAATTGGGTCTTAGTAAGTGACTGTAAGAATTATCTTAAGTGGCTGTAAGTGACTGTAGAATTAATATATGAAAGCATTTGAAGACTGGCCAGGTCTACAGTGCGGATCAAAATAATCAGAAATTGTATTTAAATAAAACAAACCCAATGCCTATTTAGAGGGAATCTTTTAGTATTAAATTATTGCTTTATTATTATAATTATATTTCGTGAGGCATTGTCAAAAGAAGTGGATGAAGTTTTGAAAGCTCTTGATCAACTGTTTCATGGTGGGGCAGTTGTAATTCTTTTATTTTTTTGCCTGAAAATGATGCTTTTTCAAAGAGCTCATTTCAACTTCTGACAAGATTATAGGATTTGGTTGATAGCGATGAAAAGTAGTTTTGTGAGCAAGCATAGTACATATTGTTGAAATTTTCAGATTTGATTGGTAAGAGGGAACTGTTTTTATCGTTTGTGTATACAGTTAAGTTAATCTCAATGTATTTTAAAGAGAAAACATGGAAAAAATAAACTGTCATTTTAATGATCCTATATTAAAATAACAGGTAAGGCCATTTAACACTTCTTATTTTTAAAACTGATGCTAAAAATCTAACTTTCTTTTTGCTACTAGCTATTTTTTATATCTTAGTCAACATATATAATGAAAACAGATTAACTACTGTCATTTTGCAAGCAGTTTTGCTTTGGTTCTTATGGCCCTTAATTGTCGCTGCAATCATTTATTTTTTATGACCACTACATTATTAGAAAATGTCTTTTCCTTTTTCTTTCTGCAAAATATAAAGGAATTCAGAGGGCAAAATTATTTTGCTGTTAGAGATTTTTTTCCCTGTCAGTCTGTCTACCAAGCAGAAGCTACTGAAGTCTTCTTAGTTAATATTTAGAGAATTTTTATATATTTCTGCATTCTGTAGAACTCTGACCTTTTCTATTAATCCCACACTTCCATGAGTATCACGTTCACGTAAAGTGTAGAAATTTCCTGACAAACCTTACCAGTATATTTAAAAAAAATACAGATTTAACCAAAGTATAGTAGAAGCACCTTCTCCTTAATTACAAACTTTGTTGTGGTTTAGTCTGTTTTTTTCCCTCTATGTAGTCATGTTGTCTGTGTTCAGTGCTTTCCTTGTCTATGTGCATACATATGAATGTCCTACAGAATAATTCTTGTTAAACTATAACAGCAAAATAAAACATTATTGAAGATTAATAATTACTTTCTTAACATTTGGCAGTTAAGGGTTCGAGACCTTGAAGGGGCTTTACAAGTGGAAAAAGCCAGCCAAGCAGAAGTTCTCTCAGATTTGGAAATGATCAAGAAAGAGTTCAAAGAGGTAGAAAATGCATATGAGAGAGAGAGACATAATGCCCAAAACAGTTTAGAGAAACTCAATAAGTAAGTTATTGTCTAAATGTATTTGTAAGCTGGTGTAGCAACATGTATACTAATGTAGCTTACCTCCATTACAGGTTGCAATCACAATTTGTATTCCAATATGGTATATATCCTTCATAGGTTGCAGTTGCTGGAAGATGACATGATCACAAACTTACAATATGCTTCTTTGCTTTTTTAGTATTCAGACAGCTGTGGTGAGCAAAACAAAGAATCTTAAAATTGTTGGAATCTTCAGCATATCTAAAGAAGGGGAAATGGGTATCCTTGTGCCTTGGGGAAATAATGTGTATCCTCTTAGTTTAGAGCCTCTCCTTCATAGGAAGTAACGCATAGGACTTTTCTCCACCCACTCACTCTCTGGTGATAGGCTATTGCATTGGAAAAAGGGTGTTATAGTACTGGTACTTTAGCAGACATGCAAAGAGTAGAGGAAAGTCCTTGTTAGGCTGAAAATGTGAGAGTGAAGTGGTCCTGGAAAAAGAAATAAGAAGTGGGTATGAGTGATAATATATAATGATGTCAAACTTAAATAAAAGCCACACTAATTACAATCAGAAAAGGGTTTTGGGGGGGGGGGGGGTTGGTTTTTTAAATTTACCCCTCCCCCCCCAATAATTGTGTGGGGTAAGGAGGCAAAGCAAGAAATAAAATTAGAGAGTAGGCAGGGAAAGAACCGCAACCAAAGTTAATTGACTACAACTTGACCACAAATCTATAGAGGAAGTGCGCTGGATTTAGTTTTCATGGAGTTTTAGTAAGAGGATTCTTTGGCTTCCCCTCTACTTGAGGAGCCCAAGGTGTTGCCCCTAATATTCCTTTTACCAGAGACCCCCAAGGATTGACACAACCCCTCATCCAATTTGGTATCATGTGAACTTTTAATAGTAATCCCTAAGTTTATTACAAGTATTCTTCCTTGCAGTAGAACCTGGCAAGTGGTTCCTTCAGGTGTTACAGTAGCGAACTTCGGTGGTACCGGCCTCAGATCCTCTGCTGGGTATGTGGGATGTTAGAGCATGCTGGGATGCTGGCGGACTTTGATTTAACTTAAACGAGGAATGGGTCTGGGACAGAAGTTTCATAAACTGTCTGATACTATATTCAACAAGGTTTATCTTAAACCAGTTTTGGCCATTTTGAAGCTGGTTTATGTGCACTGAACTTATGTTCTGTTACAGGTTTAAACCAGTTTCTGATCACTTAAACCGGTTTGTGTAACTTCTGTCCCTAGCTCTAGCAAGCTCAGTGCAACATTAGTTAAGATATGGCTGAAGTGGACAGATTGAAATCTGTTGACAACAGTGGCGACATGTAGGTGGTACATGGGGGTGCATGTGCATCCCCTGACAGCCAACATTCCCTGCTTAGGCAACGGGCAGGTGGGAGCGCTGGTGCCCCCCCTGAGAGCACCAGCCAGGGAGTAGGGGCTCCAGGAGAAGTGCCCCTGGCACGTCTGGGCGTGCCACTGGCACTTCCGGGTCAGCGTGCTCGGCTTTGGGAGGATTCTTCTCCCCGCCTTCCGGTGGGCACAACTGGGTATGGTTGCTGACTGGCCTCTGACTCAGGAGGCACCAGTTGCCCATGGTTGATAACATCTGCAAATAACATCCAACTAAGATAAGCGTGATCCAGTTTAGCCAGTCTTCTTTGTTGCCTAGAGCCTTGCTCTTGGAGTTAGATTAGCAGAATTGATTCTAAATAAAGTGGTTAAATTGAGAATGAAGTTAAAATTAAACCTTTAAGTATCCTCTGTTGCAAATTAGATGTATTCAATATGTCTCACGTATTTGCCATTTAATATTAACTTGACTTTTTAGTATTGGAAAAATAGATTTCATAGCTGCTAATGTTCATTCTGGTTTAAATATAGTCAGATAATTCAAGCTAAATGGCAAACCATCCATATTGTATGCTAAACCAGGTGGTGATCCTGTGAACAGAATAGTATATGGTCATAGAATCGAAGGCAGTATCATAATGCAGGGGGGAGCACATTTTTTTTTATTCTGACATTTTATAACCTGAATGCTTTACTTTGTAACTTTAATGCTATTTTATTCAGTTGTGTATCTTATTACAACATGTCAAAAGACAAAGGCTGTTCCCTGGTTCAGGATTTGGTGTTTCTGAACTTGCACTGTACAAACAAGAAAATAAGCCTTAGGAAATAGTTCATTTTAAGGAACTGGACTGAACTAAGACTTTTTTTGTCTATCCTTAACTGCTTGGACTCCTTAACTAATTGGACAAAAAGTTTGAGACTAATTCAAGTTCATTTTAGTTCTGAATACAATATTTTATTAAAAAATAAGTCTTAAGAAAATAGTCTTTGAAATAAAAATCCTTCCAGTTATAGATAATGCAGTCTGTCCCCTTTATTCACTATTTTGTTGGTGATCATGCCATTACATTAAATTTTAGGGTTTGAAATTTAGTAATAATAATATAGTAATAGAAAAATAGTAAAGGGTAAGCTTATTTAGGAATGGGGTAGATAGGCAGTGAACTCTACAAACTCCTCTTGATCTGTTAAATTCAAGAAGAGACAAGATACAATTTGTAATGTGTATCTGAGTAGTTACCTCAGTGTTATCAACCAGTCCATTCCTGCTATTTCGGTGCCCAAAAAGGAATGGTTGGGGAGGTTGTCAAATTCTTGAACCTCTTTGTTTTTAACCTGTTAATTCAGAAGTCAAGATTTAGGCTAGACACTTGGATATCCAGGAGAATCTCATCTCAGGCTTAATTATCTTCAGGAATCTTGTTCCTGAACATGTATGCACATCTCAACAAATTTCTTTGCTCTCTGCTTGAGCAGGGGCACTTTTAGCATGTTGCTGTTTCCTTTCACCCCTCCTCTGCTACCTCTGAAGATGTTTTGAGTTGTGATGGTCATGGTTGCTTTTGACAGGGAAGAGGTGATTGATGGATTACCTTCTAGTCAAGACAGCATCATTCCAACTTGGCTAGAATGGAGTTACTTCTCCTGGCATCTTGGGCTGCTTTAAACCAAGAAAAAATTTCCTTGTTTTGTCCAGAGAGCTGGTATATCTGAACATCTGCTTCTCCAAGAATGAGGGTCTTGTTCTCCTTCCAGCAAAGTCTCCAAAATAGAAGGCAGCCTAATGCTCTTCAGTGCATTTCTATCAGAGAGGTAATCTTGTATTCCTTGTAGTTTGTTTTCTTTTTTTCTTTTTTTTCTCAAATTTTTCCTTATAGGGAGATATTCCTCATAGTGAGGCTGCTGGTGATTCTGATACAAATAGGTACACTTTCTTTCTGTCACAATCACTGCACTTGGAAAAGGAAATCTACCCCTGTTGTTGTCTCCCTTCACCAGAATCATGAGAGAGCCTCAGTGTTGGGAGGCTCACAAAGGGTCTGATTTGTGAATAGCTGAAGCCCTAAAAGTCATCTACGCAAGAATATAACTGTTCCCTTCAGTTTGACTTCCATGATCCAGATAGAGAACGACTTATTCAAAGCAGTATATATGACAGCTGGTAAAGCAATGCCAGGCATTCTTACCTCAAGACCAGTGCTCTCCACATTCTGCCAAACATGCAGGAGCCTCAAGTTGACTTTTTTTTAGCCACTATGTTCTGAAGAACTGGTATAAAAAGTCAGTGAGTTCAGAACAACTATTTGTGGAGAAACGCACTTGAATTTAGCAGTTCCAGTAGCAACTTCTTTGCTGTTGCATTTCCTCAGGCATGCAATGCTTCTCATATCTGAGGGTGGACATCTCATTCAACTGATTGGGTTTGTATATTCTTCTTCAACTTGTCTTCCTTGGATAGCCTAGTAGATAAGAAAGCATCATGTCAAGAGTTAAGTATTCCTGTTCTCTTTTGGTTTCCATTACTTATTAGAAGAATGCTGGCTAAAGTTGTTCCTCAGATCTCCTCTTTAGTTCTTGGGGATCTGCTGTGTCAAAGTCCAGTTCTGAGCCTAGAACAGCAATCTTAGATGTCCTGGAAATAGATGGGATGCTGCTTTGACTGGAGCAGGAGGAGGTTTTTTTTTCTTAATCTAAGAATACTAGAAATTAATGTTTGAACACAGCCAATATCTCTTACTTATCTCCCATTTCTGAAAATAACCCTTAATACTTATATTATCACCATATACTCCTCATGAAAGCTGTTTCTTGCCTAATATTGTAGGCCTGCAAAGGAC